TCAAACTGCATTCCTTTTACAGTGTTGTCCAGACATGGGCAAACTTTGGCCCTCCTTCCAGGTATTTTAGACTTCAGCTCCCATAATTCCTAACAGCTTAGGAATTGAAGTCCAAAACGCCTGAAGGGTTAAAGTTTGCCCATGCCTGGCATATATTGAGAGGATGGGGAGAAATGTCAGGAGAGAATGCTACTGGAGCGTGGCCATGCAACTTTGAAAAATTCATAACAACCCAGCCAGTGGGCTGTTAAGAATTGTGGGAGTTGAAGTCCAAAACGCCTGGAGGGCCGAAGTTTGCCCATGCCTGGTGTAAACTAAAGTTTGGACTAAAAACCGGAGTGGATCCATCAACCTGTTGGCATGCAGAACACTGAGATAATGGTTTGGGAGAGGAGTTGGGAGGTTTAACAAAACATTCCAACCCCGAGGCATCTTCCCTATTATGTGTCGTTATATTCAACCTCCTTCCTGTTTGGGAAAAGTAGGAAAAACTTTGCAACTCAGTTGAGTTGGAAAGATTTCTATGTTTTTAATGGTTTTTGTATTGTATTGATTTTATATTGATTTTATAATGCTGTTTTAATTGTATGTTGTGGATTGTTATGGCATCGAAGCGCTGTCAGTTTGTAAGCCACCTTGAGTCGCTTTCGGGCTTGAGAAAAGTGGGATAGAAATATCACAAATAAATAAATAACGAACTGACAATTGGGAGAGGTCATCCGGAGTTTCGGGGTGCGGTGTTATCTGTACGCAGATGACGTCCAACTCTGTCACTCCTTCCCACCTACTACTAAGGAGGCTGTTCAGGTCCTGAACCGGTGCTTGGCCGCTGTGTCGGACTGGATGAGGGCTAACAAATTGAAATTGAATCCAGACAAGACAGAGGCACTCCTGGTCAGTCGAAAGGCCGAACAGGGTATAGGGTTACAGCCTGTGTTGGACGGGGTTACACTCCCCCTGAAGACGCAGGTTCGCAGCTTGGGTGTGATCCTGGACTCTTCGCTAAGCTTGGAACCCCAAGTTTCGGCGGTGTCCAGGGGAGCATTTGCACAACTCAAACTTGTGCGCCAGTTGCGCCCGTACCTTGGGAAGTCGGATTTGGCCACGGTAGTCCACGCTCTGGTTACATCCCGGATTGATTACTGCAACCGCTCTACGTGGGGTTGCCCTTGAAGACTGCCCGGAAGCTTCAGATGGTCCAGCGCTCGGCAGCCAGGTTACTAACGGGAGCGGCACTCAGGGAGCACACCACTCCTCTGCTGAGCCAGCTCCACTGGCTGCCAATCCGCTACCGGGCACAATTCAAGGTGCTGGCTTTAGCCTATAAAGCCCTAAACGGTTCTGGCCCTGCTTACCTCTCTGAACGCATCTCCACCTATGAACCGACCGAGGATGTTAAGATCGTCCGGGGAGGCCCTGCTCTCGGTCCCGCCTGCGTCGCAGGCGCGGCTGGCGGGGACGAGAGACAGGGCCTTCTCGGTGGTGGCCCCTCGGCTATGGAATGCCCTACCCGTAGACATCAGGCAGGCCCCTTCGTTGCTGGAGTTCCGGAGGAAGGTCAAGACGTGGCTCTATGAACAGGCGTTCGGTCAACAAGGCAACTGAACTCATGAAGACGGTATAAATGAACAAAGGAATGGTAGAAGGATTATGAGAACGGAATCTGATTTTACTGAGGCGTTGATGACCACGTTGTTTTGTCTTGTATTGTCTGTCGTGTATGTTGTGTTTTAACTAATTGTGATTGTTATATAAATTGTATTGTAAACCGCATTGAGTCGCCGATTTAGGCTGAAAAACGCGGTATAAAAATAAAGCAAATAAAATAAAATAAAAATAATAATTAATTGTGGCTTTGCATACTCACATAATTAAGGACTTTGAGCTGGAGGGAAGCCGCATCCAAGTCATAGAGCTCCCCTGCAGAAACAACAAAGCAGCAGGTGACCATTCAATACACGCAGTCCCCAAGTCACATACAAACAACATCACTTCTGTAGGTTTGTAAGTTGAATCTGTACATTTTTCAAGAGTAACTCCAGCCAAATGTATATGTCACATAGAAGGCTTTCATGGCCAAAATCACTGGGTTGTTGCAGGTTTTGGGGGGCTATAGGTGCTAGGTGTGAATGTTTCAACTGACAAACAAAGACATCTAATCACCTCTTAACAAAAGATTGCCCCAGGCACTGCCAGGCCATCAAATCCTAATCAAGGTGGTCAGCTGAAACATTCCCACCCAGCTCCAACAGGCAAGAGTTCTTTGTCCCACCCTGGTCATTCCACAGGCTATATGGCCATGTTCTAGAGGCATTCACCGCTTTGAGTCGCCTGAGGGCTGAGAAAAGCGCTACTTTATAGAAATAAAGTAAATAATTCTCTCCTGACGTTTCGCCTGCATCTATGGCAAGCATCCTCAGAGGTCGTGAGGTCTGTTGGAACTAGGAAAAGGGGTTTATATATCTGTGGAATGACCAGGGTGGGACAAAGGACTCTTGTCTGCTGGAGCTAGGTGTGAATGTTTCAACTGACCACCTCGATTAGCATTTGATGGCCTGGCAGTTTTTTTGGTGTGGCTTGTTAGTGCCTGCGGCAATCTTTTGTTGAGAGGTGATTAGATGTCCCAGATTGTTTTCCCTCTGCTGTTTTGCTGTTGTAATTTTAGAGTTTTTTTAATACCGGTAGCCAGATTTTGTTCATTTTCATGGTTTCCTCCTTTCTGTTGAAATTGTCCACATGTGTCTTGTGGATTTCAATGGCTTCTCTGTATAGTTTGCTAATCAAGGTGGTCAGTGGAAACATTCACACCTAGCTCCAGCAGACAAGAGTCCTTTGTCCCACCCTGGACATTATTCCACAGATATATAAACCCTTTTTCCTAGTTCCAACAGACCTCACTACCTCTGAGGATGCTTGCCATAGATGCAGGTGAAACATCAGGAGAAAATGCCTCTAGAACATGGCCATATAGCCTGAAAAAACCTACAACAACCCACAATTTCCATTGTTACAAGGCTCCTTTGATGAGAATCAATAGCCTAGATAAGGGATGGGAAATACCTCTCAGCAGGTGGATCTATCTACATTGCCATAGAACACTATTTAACATGGTTGTTGTTCCTGGGTTATCAATGTTATTTCCTAATTGGTTCTATCACAAAAACATGGGGAAAGTTGATTAAACTGTAAAATCTTTGTCTTTGCAGGAGAGACATCATCCTGCTCTAGCACCTTTTGCTATTCCTTTTCAATTAGTATCTCAGCCAATTCAACTTAGTTTGTGACACAAAAATGAAGTTTATGGAGTAGAACAGCTACTTTCAAAGTAAAGACTACACAATGAAACAGGAAATAACACTTTCAAACCAGGAACAGAAAATTCTGTAAATTTTGTTACATAGTGTAATGCAATTTAACTGCACTGATTTGCATTATATGGGTCTGCACTGGCTATACAACACAGTTTATAACTGCATGCTATGTCAGTGCAGATCGAGCCTAAATCTCACAACAGCAGCAGAGGATTCCTTACCGCACAACTGGAGGATCTTCCGGTCCTGGTCATTATAGCTGTCCTTGGGGGCCTCTCCGGTCTTCTCCGGCAAGTTCTGTGATGGGGAGGTGGACACATGGTTGACCTGTGGCAGCTTCTGGAGGGCTTGGATGCGCTTGTAGGACACCAGGATCTGTGCATGGGTAAAAGGCATGGTTTTAGGAACATACCACTTAATAGCCAACCTTGCAGAGAAGAAAAGGGTTGATAACTGAGCCATCTTTCCCAGGAGACCTTGGGACAGCACTGCCCCATGCTCACATCATTGGATTGCCATAACTTGATAACAGGCACTGATATAACATGGGTCATGCATGGTGTGAGCTAGAGCTCTTATCAAAAGATTGAGGATGCTGAAAAAATATAAAATTGGAAGGGTGCCCAGAGGTCATCTAGTCTGACCAGAGGAGGATTTTGCATCAATAGAGATCTTCTGGTT